ACGGGAAGGCCTCTCCCCACCAGCCCCACCCCATAGCAGGGTTGCCCCCCTCTCCCACGGGCCTCTCCCAGCCATCCTTCCAGGAAATTCCGCCTACCGCCTGAGGGGCAGGCCTGGTGAGCGTTCTCACCAGTCTCGTTGGCAGAACCCCCAGCTCAGGCAGGTCGGCAGTGGTGGTAATTAGCTTGATTAACCCGGGCCTGGGGGAGCCGCCCCAGTTGGAGGCTCCGAGTCAGCTGGGATCAGCCCAGCCACGCTGCAGCCTTTGGTCGCCTTCCGCTCTGGGCCCTTCCCTCACTGGAAGAAGAAGTTGCTCTTGTCTGGGTCCTAAGTGCAGAGCCTTCTCTGTCATTTTTGTCTTTTTCTTTTCTAATGTAAGTGGTTTAATTCCACAACATGACAGAATCCCAGTTTAGACGACATGGGCAAAGTGGAGATTTTGTCCATTGCCGATCAGAACCCTGAGAGAGAGGGTACATCCTTCTGGATGTTTCTTCATTTGCATTTTGAAAGGTAAAATATGCAGAGTAAAAACCAAACCAGCACAAAAGGGTTTGCAGTGAAAACCAAGCTTCTCTCCTTCCCCGGCCAGCCCTCTCCCCAGAGCAACCGTGGTTTCATCTCTCCTGCATCCTTCTAGAAATGTTCCGAATATGACCAGCATGTGACTGCGTGCACGTCCCTCGAACCCCTTTTTATTTATCGATGTGGCCACCTCCTCGCTCTGCACTTCTGCCTTTTCCGCTTGCTGTTTTCTCTCCAGATGTCTTGGCGACAGTTCCATATGAGTCCATAGACGGTGATCTCATTCTGCTGTGTGGTCAGAGAGAAGTCCGTTTTCTCCTCAGCGATCATTAGGTTCTAACAGTGATGGAGACCAGAGATCTTGAGAAAAAGGAAAAAGATCAGAGATGTAGAAACCCGGTTTTTTTTAACCCGGAATTAATGCCGTTTTAAATTATCGCTTAGGATCTGCAATTTAGAAAATACATTGGAAAATGCTTCCAGAAGAAAGAGAATAAGAGCAAAAGTGATTGATTTAACTCTCCAAAATAAATTTCATCGTACCTTTTCCCTTTAGGCATGTCACGGCAGCCCACAAATAGTGTCAGGCTGTGGAACCTGCAGGAGATGAGAGAGGTGCAGATTTGAGGGTCGGGGGAGAAGGTTCTAGCATGATTTCTTCCAGTGAGCCAGCCTTCCACTGTAGAATTAGGAATGCCCCATTAGAGTCCTGGAGGTCCTGGGAGCTGGGAAGGCGATTTTAGCAAATGAACACAAATTAAACAGACTGGGGAAGGAATACATGTTCTTTTGGCTTAACTTTTCAAAGTAACTCTGTACTTTGTTCTGTTTTATAAAAGTCGTTTAGGCTTCTTGTAAAAGGAAGGAAGAGAGTAGGGAAGTTTGGAAGGAAGAAGGTAGGGAGGTGGGTTGGTTAGTTGGAAGGAAGGTTAGTTCCTTATGATACACATTTAACAGGTACTTTCAAGTGCCCACAGTGTGGCAGGGCCTGGTCCGACACGACGTAGAATGCAGAAGGCTGCAGGCGAGGTGGGAGGAGTGGGACGGAAAACGCACGGGTACACATGACAGATCATCATGAGGTGAACGCAGTGAGAAAGTAGCGCAGGGTTTCATGATCGAGCGCACCTGGGCTGGGAGGGCGCTCCAGAAGGTTGAGTGGTCAGGAGGTCTCTCTAAGGAGGTGACATTGAGCTAAGCTGCATGGATGAGAAGCTGCCAGTCATGAGGAATACTGGCGAGGGCAGTCTAGGCCGACAGAACAGCCAGTGCAAAGGTCCTGAGGCAGGGTGCCTGGTGTGTTTAAGGAACTTGGGAGGCGTGTGTGGGAGGAGATGAGGGCGATTGTTTCAGACCTCATGGGCTGTGGTGAGGAACGTTTTTAGAAAGTGAGTCCCCAATATCCACCTTTGGAGCTGAGAGTTTGGTAAACTTCAGTATACCAAGCTAAACTGTGTGTGAGTTTTGTTTGCTAAAAACGATTTCACACCGTACATACCCCTTCTTTATTCCCGTGACGTGTCTGGGAGAAGCTTTTCCGTGTCGTGTGGCTCAGCTCCACGTCTCTTTAACGCCTGGGTGGTATTGTTCTGTGGGGCTCCGCCCATCCCCTGCCAGCCGATTGTGTGTCCACAGACAGGACCCCGTGAAGCGTCCTGTACACCCAGCACCGCGGGTTCATAAGGCCTTTCTGAAGGGCACACTGCCAGAAGTAGGACAGAAAGAGTGTGCGTTTTAGCGTTTCCAGCAGGCCTCCTTACAGCCCGTCCAGGGGAGAGCCTGAGGACAGTGCCCGTTTCTTGCGGCAGAGGAGCCGAAGGTCGGCTGCTTCTCCCAGGAGACGGGCACAGCACGCGGGGTGCCCGCGCGCAGTCGCGTTCTCCCTGTGCAGGGGGTTCTGGGAAATGGCCAAATCAAAAGGGAAGCGGGGGGATCAGTCCCCTTCCGGCTCCCATGGGAGGAGCATGTACTCGCTGGGGCTGTGCCTCTTTCTACTTCTCTCTCTTGGGTCTGAAGCTTTTCCTTTGCCTGGAGAACACCCTTCAGAGAACACTGTAGTGGAGCCAGAATTACCCCAGACCTGGGATTCTAATTTGGGGAGGACTATGACCTGACAAGAAAGAACCTGCCACCCTCCCTTCCTTCCTTTGTTAGAATCCCAAGGCTGGCAGCTGAGAGAAGAGAAAGAAAATGTAGGCTTCAGAACCCTCAGGAGCCCAAGACAGCTTATTTCTTCATGGGTTCAAAGACTCTTTTCTTTCTTGAGTTACAAAATGGTGAAGTCTAGGTGTCTGCTTTTTTTTTTTTTTTTTTTTTTGTGGAAGGTTAGCCCCTAGGTTAAAACCGATGCTAATCCTCCTCTTTTTTGCTGGGGAAGACTGGCCCTGGGCTAGCATCCGTGTCCATCTTCCTCTGCTTTATATGGGACTCCGCCACAGCGTGGCCGGACAAGCGGTGCATCGGTGGGCACTCGGGATCTGAACCTGCGAACCCCGGGCCACCAGAGCAGAGCGTGCGCACTTAACCACTATGCCACCAGGCTGGCCCCTAGGTGTCAGCTTTTTTAAAACTAGTTTTTATTATTATTGTTATGACACATGATTATGTTAAAATAAATTCAGACAGTTCAGAAGGGTGTCAGATGAACAAAGCCCCATTTTTCCACTTCCTCATAAGACTCCTGCTGCCGAGGTAATCGTTGTCCCTCATTTCTTCCAGAATTTTTTTCTGCATATAAAGGCATATTATTAAACCAAAGGTGATTACGGTCCACACCCCGTACATCTTTTTGGGGCCATCTCTGTGATATAAACGTGGCGGTCCAGCACGGTGGTGACCCCTGGAGGCTCTGCAGCCTGGTGGCCCTGGCTGGAGTTGTGACTCCTCCTCTCAGGCTGTGTGACTTTGGACAGTGTCCTATAGTTAGTTTCTTTCTCCGTGCCTCAGTTTCCCATCTGTACAGTGGGGGTGATAGGATTAGTGGCTCCCGGGGCAGCGGCTGTGCGGATTTAACAAGTGAGCATAGATGGAGCCCTCGGGCTGGTGGCTGGTGCCTGGTGCACGGCAAGGGCTGCGCCCCTGTTAGCCGTCGTCGTTTCTCCCCTGCGGGGTGGCGACACCTCAGGTCAGGGACCTGATTTTCACTGGGGAAGTAAGACCCGAGTCCAGAGGCTGGGCCAGAGTTGGAAGGCGAGAGGAGGCCTCAGGGGCAGTCCCAGGAGTGAAGGACACGGTGCCCCAGGGGAGCCAGCCTTGGTCAGGCGAGGGCCAGGGAGCCGCGGGATGACCGCCTGTAGGGCCAGCAGAGGGGGTGAGAGAGCAGCAGAGTGGAGTGGGTGCTGGTCAGCCTTAGGTGAACGGTTATCAGAGCGGCCCAGACCGACTGCTGGAATGGAAGGCCCCCTAGAACAGTGTCCCGGGAGCAGTCAGGGGCTCCAGGCCCCTGCTCAGGGCACAGGTGCTCGTGTCTGGACCCTCCCAGCCAGGTTGTGATGCGTGAGCTCTCCTATGCCGCGTGACAGATGAGGAGCCCCAGGTTGGGGAGATCTGAGGGCGGGCCCTGGGGCACCTGGGTCAGAGGGCTGCTGCCTGTGGCCCAGCGCTTACCCCCAGGGACCAGTTCTCCCAGGGGATGCTCCCTCTGGGACACCCCATCCCTCCTCTGTTGCCGGAAGCCCTGGTCTGGGCCACCTTGTCTCACCTGGGCAGCTGCAGGAGCTTCCTCACGGCCTCCCACCCCCCCTCTTGTCCCCACCCCCATGGGGGTCACTTTCCTGTCCAGCAACCAGAGTGATCCTGCCAAAGCGCAAATCAGGACCCAGCACTCACCAGCTCAGAGTCTCAGGGGCTCCCAGATGTGACCCCGAGTCCCCTCTGTGGTCATAGTTCTGCACACCTGCCCCCCGTCCCTTCCCAGACCCCTCACCTCCACCCCTCATGTCCTCCACGCCCATGGGCCTCCCCCACCCCTCACACTCATCACACTTGTGCCCAACCACCTCATGGCCTGGGATGCTCTTCTGCTCTCTGGATCCCTCCCTCCAGGTTTCTGCTCAGAGGTCACCCCTCAGAAAAGCCATTCTCCATTCCTGTCGATTCCTATCCATTTACCCAGCTTGATTTTTCTCCATAACAGCCCCTCTGCCTCACGTTATGGGGTCTCCCTTCCGTTCAGTTGTTCGTCGTCGGTCTCCCCAACTGGAGGTTGGCTCCATGTTCACTGCTGTACCCCCCGCCCCCCGCCAGAGCAGGCCTGGCACAGGGTAGGTGCCCAGGGAACACTTGCGGGCTGAGGGAACAGAGAGAATAGACGAAGTCCCTCCTCTGTCACACTCTCGCCAGGTGAAGCAGACATGGCTGCGGTCATCCCCCAGTGGCGGCCAGCCTTCTTGGGTCAGGACACCTTGAGAAGCAGCTCGAGCCTGCCCAAGCCTGACCCTGAGCCCAGAGCCCTGACCCTGACCCTCTCCTCCCAGGCAGGTGGACACCAACACGAAAAACGTCTTTGGGCAGCCACGGTTGAGGGCGTCACTCCGCGACCTCCGCTCCCCGCGGAAGAACTACAAGTCCACCATTGAGGACGACCTGAAGAAGCTCATCATCATGGACACCCTGGCGCCGGAGCAGGACAGAGACGCGGGGGTACAGGGGCGCCGGGGTAGGGCGGGGGAGCTTCCAGCCCGAGGCACCCGCCCACCGTGTCTGGGCGGATGTGGCTTCGTGGCCGGGAGTCAGAGTGTCACGTTGATCAGGGACAGAATCAGTGTAAACCAGCCTGGGCCGCACGAGGGGAAATTGTCCCAAATAGGGTACCACAAGTGACCAGAAGGGCCGCTGTCACTGGCTCTGGTGTCCTCGTGGCACCCAGGGTGGAAGCAGCGCTGGCCCTCCAGGACCAGGTGGCCCACAGGTGGGGGTGGAGGTGTCCCCAGGAGAAGCTGACCAAACAGGGGCAGAACTGGGTGCTGGGCGGGTGGCAGCCGCCGACGTCCAGCTTGGGAGGCGGTCTCAGGATGGCGACCGTGGCTGGGCCGTGACCGCGCCCCGTGTCCGCCCCGTCCGCAGCAGTCGCCGCAGAAGAGCCTGCAGCGGACGCTGTCCGACGAGAGCCTGTGCGGCGGGCGCCGGGAGCCCGGCTTCACCAGCCCCGGCAGCCTGGAGCCCGGCCTGCCCGGCGACGTGCTCTTCACCAGCACTTGCGCCTTCCCCTCCAGCACGCTGCCCGCCCGCCGCCAGCACCAGCACCCGCTCCCGCCCGGCAGCAGCGGCCCCAGCCCCAGCCCCGCCGCCGGCAACGGCTTCCCCGAGAAGAAAGGTGAGCCCCGGCGCTGGGAGGCGGGGCATCCCACGTGGAGCTCATGTGTTAGTGTCAGCAGAGGGAGGGAACTGGGGTGCACGTGAGCATCGGGGGGCCTGGTGGTCGGGCACTGGGGGTCACCTGCAGAGCAAGGGACGTTAGCCGAGCACCTGGGGTCACGTAGGAGTCCGGAGCACCCGAGGATGGGGGTCATCTGAGACTGGAGAGGACATCAGGCTGGGGCCCAGCATCGGGCCCTGAGCATGGGGTTCTGCGTCAGCTGCTCCCCCTCCAGGTTCCAGCGTCATGCAGATTGCTTCGTGAATGTTTATACATTCACCTGACTCCCCCCAAGCCTGCCAACCCTTGGGGGGCGTGACTCCCCCATCCCTTTATTCATCCAGCGAATATTTCCAGAGTGTCCCCCGTGAAGGGGTGCTGTGCACATGTCCCCCATCAAAAAGCCGAGCACTGGCTGGGGGCGGCCGAGCCTTCGTCCACCCTGTCATCCCTTATCCACGACCCCAAAGGCTCCAAAACTGAAAGGCGATGCAGAGGTTTGGGCCAAGCTCATTGAGCAGCAAAACCCAGCCCAAACAGACGTGAGGCTGTGTGTGGTCCGTCTTCAGCCCCTCGGTGTGAGCGATCGTGGCTTCGCTGCAGACGCTGCTGTGCTGGCTGTGGGTGCTCCCCGACCTCTCTGGGGTGTTGTGTGATACTCAGCGCCTGCACCACTTTCTCAGGTCCAAACAGATCGCGACTTCAGAGAGGTGTCCGCCCCGAGGGTTTCGGCTGAGGGGCCGTGTCCCGTATTCTAGAAGGAGCCTCCTGCTCACTGCAGGGGGTGGGATGGAGGAGGCTCTGGGACTGTTTTGAGGGCTCTGTCTGCCCCTTAAAATTCTTCCATGGCTCGCGATTGCCCTAGTGTCTGGGTCCATACTCCTTGCCCTGGTGTTTCAGGGCTCCCACTCTGGGTCCCCGTCTCAGCCCCTCCACCTCACGGAACCCTCCCTTAGATCCTCCAGTCCACCACAGTCTCCCTTCTCAGGGCATTCCACGTGGCTGTTCCTTCTGCCGTTCATGCTCTTCCCCCAACCACGTTTGTGGTAACTCCTGCTTCTCCTTCAGGGCTTCGCTCAGCTACTGCTCCTTCCTGGAGTCTCCCCCAAACCCCAGGCTGGGTCGTCTCCCCCGTCTTACACTGCAGAGCACCTGACCCGGCCCTCCGCTGCCTTCATCCCACCCCTGTCTTGAGCACCTGCTGTGGGCCGGGCTCTGCTCTAGGCGTGGGCGCCCAGCGGGGAGCAGTCAGAGAACACCCCTGCCCCGGGGGCCCGGGTCTCACTGACAGTTCCTCCTGCTTCCTTAAGCTTCCCTCCTGTCTCCTCCCCTGCCCCTCGGCCTTCCTGCCCTGTCTGTGCCTAAGGCAGGGCCTGGCACGTGGTAGGCGTTCGGCTTGTAGTGAGCAGAAGGCAAGAGGGCCAAGGCAGAGGGGTGTGCACAGAGAACACAGGCACAAACCACACAGACAAAGTTGAATGTCTCTGACTAGCTCTGCCTGATTCTCTGCCTCAACTCAGATGCCACCTCCTCCAGGAAGTCCTCACACCCCCACCATGCTGGGTCTGGCACCCCCTCTGGGTTGCCCCACCCCATCCTGCTCACTCTGCTGTATGTGTCCCTGTCGCAGCCCCATTCACTCTGGGCTGTCACTATACGGGAACAGATCTGTCTCCCCTGCTGGACTGGGGCCTCCCTCAGAGCAGGCCTGGGGTCATCTGGGTCCCTGTGGTGACTGCACCGGGGCCCTCTGTCTCGCAGAGCACACACGCGCACTTCTCTGCCCATCTGCCTCCCCTGTCCCCTGAACCTGGGAGAGTCCCATCTGGCTGCAGCGTGTCCGGGGCCCCCAGGCCTCTCCACCTCTCCCGAGGCTGCTCGAGGGCCCTTCCCAGGCCGTGTGTGGGCTGGAGAGACGCAGTCGCCCGGGCTGGGCCTCACTAATGAAGGGCCCTCCATGCCAAGGAGCCTCTCCCACCGGGTGCCCACTGATCACGTGCTTGGCTGTGGCAGCTGCTGCCGCAGCCCCCAGCTCAGCGCTGAAGTGCTGGCGGGCCAGAGATCAGAGCACGGAGGCCAGGGGCTCGGCGTCCCTCCTGCCCGCCGTCATTCCCCGAGCATTCGTTCATTCAGCACACGCTTCCTAGCACCACCGGTCCTGAGAGCTGTGTTCACGTCCCAGGTCCTGATTCACAGGTGTCACGTCCCAGTGCCGCCGTTTCTTAGACTGTAAAGTGTGGGCAAATACAGTGCCCTCTTCACTGGGTGACACTGAGGCTCAGATGAGTTAATTCGTGGAAAACGCCTAGCATGGCGCCCAGCATGCAGTAGGCACTGAGAAGAGACCAGCTGTTGGTTATTGTTTGTCAGCGTTCTGTCTTCTGGAGCAAGCCTTTCAGTCCGTCACATGTCAGGTGTCCACCTCTGGACTGGAGAAAACTGAGCGTGAACAGGGGCCTTGTAAACCCCAAAGCCGTGGCGTGGCATGGCGTGGCTTAGAGCAGGGCCAGCCCCGGACCATGTGGTTCAGATCCCAGCGCCGCCACCAGCGCGTGTGAACCCGGGCGGGGCGGCTTCTCGCCCTGAGCCTTGATTGCCTCCACGGCACGGGGTCACACGGTGCCTCCCTCCTGGCCAGCTGGAGGCGAGGCTGGAAGGTGGTCTCCGGGGCATACTAGCGCGGTGCCCAGCAAGAGGACGCACTCAGTCAGGCTCCGCCTTTCCTGCCCGAGTCGCCTCCTGGCATCTCTGTGCCTCGCTGTCCTCTGTCCTCTCCCCTTGAGTGGCCGTGAGGCCTAAGCCCGGCACGCAGGACTCACTCAGTGGCTGCAGCAGATGCAGCTGCCGGCGCGATGCTCGAGCTGTCCATCCCTTCCATCACCCGGAGACTTCAGGGGCTCTTTCCCTGCCCTGCGTGTCGTACCTGAACCCGCCAGGGCTCCCCACGGTGACCCTGCCACATGTAAGCACTGTCCGTGCACTCATGACCCCAATTTATACCTGCAGGCCGGGAGTCTCCTCCACTCCGGCCCTGTGTGACCGCCCCCACCCGCTGGCTCCTTGTGGGGGTCTAATGGCCTCTCGTACTCCACACCTCCAGAGGCAAACTTCCCATCCCACCCTCAGATTGCGCCGTCTCAGTTAGGGCCAGCTCCCTCCCCCTGTGCCCAGGCCAGTACCTCGCTGTCCCCCCCCCGGGCCCCTCTCCCTGTCACACACCCTCACCCCCTCTTCAGGAAATGCTTTTGGTTCCACCTACAGAATCGATCAGCGTCTGCCCACCTGGCCCTCCACAGCCCTACCTGGTCCTGGCCACCCTCGTCCACCTCCTGGACATTGCAGCCTCGTCTCTGTCTCCCTGCTCCCCACGCACACACACACGCGGTCTGTTTGCCGCACACAGCCAGAAGGAGCCTGTGGACACCTGTGTTCCTCCCTGCTCAGAGCCCTCAGTGTCTCCCTCTCACCCCGAGTCAAAGATGAAGTCCTCATCATGGCCCCTGAGGCCCCACACGGTCCAGCCCTGTTGTTTCTCTGACTTTACCTTCCACCACTCTCCCTCTCTGTCCCAGCCGCACGGCCCCCTCAATGTTCCTTCAACCTACAGGCACATTCCTGCCTCGAGGACTTTGTACTGGCTGTTCCATTTGCCTGGAATTCTCTTCCCGCAGGTATCCCTCTGGCTTGCTCCCTCCGTCAGAGCTTTGTTCAAATGCCACCTTCTCAGCAAGGCCTCTCCTCGCACCCAATTTAAATTACACCCACGTAAACGTCCCACACTCCCACCCCTTACCTGCTGGGTGTTTCCTTGGCATTTAGCATCTAGTAAAGATGACGTATTTATTTAGTTATATTACAACGATTATGTATAAAGTAAAACACAATGTGTCAATTGCCTTGTTTCTCCCACGCTGTTAATCTCACCCATCTCCCCGTCTCCGCTCTCCCCACCAGCCACCATCTCGGCCTCGGAGCTTTCGCTGGCTGACGGGCGGGACCGGCCCCTGCGGTGCCTTGACCCCGGCATGATGCCGCTGCCCGACACGGCTGCTGGCCTCGAGTGGTCCAGCCTGGTCAACGCAGCCAAGGCATACGAAGGTAGGCACCTTCCACCTATCCCACCAGATCCCTACCCCCTTCTCTGTTCTAGAAGGATCGGTGGAGGGCCTTGGGGCTTTGAAGGGGGATGCACTCGAGTTCCAGAATCGGGGAGCAGCGTTCACGTCCTGCCCTGTCACTTGCTCGCTGTGCAGTGCTGGGCAAGTGTCTTCAGCTCTCTGATCCCCAGTTACTTTGTCTACAAAACAGGGATGTGACCGTGCCCACTGCATGGGGCTGCAGTGAGGATTATATGAAACACTGTGTGTAAAACATGTCAGACACAGAACAAGCCGTCAACAGATGGTACCTTATGTTATTATTACAGAACAACATTATCGTAATCCAAACGCTACTTAAGTTTGCTCCGGCTGCAAGTGGCAGAAAATCTGAATTAACAGTGACTTAAACACATAAGGTTTTGTGGAGATAAAAAATTCCCAGGGTGGGCGGTCTGGGGCTGGTGTGGCACTTCCACAAATTCATGAGGGCCTGGGCTCCCTCCACCCTCTGCTCTGCTATTTCCTGGGGCGTAGGGAAGTGGGGGTGGGGGCTCACCCTCACAGTCCAAGATGGCTGCCAGAGCTCTGACCATCAAGTCCAGCTCCCACCAGCAGGAGAGAGGACATAACTCCTCCCTTTAGGGATGCCTTCCAAGGCCTCACACTCTTACACTTACCTCCCATTGGCCAGAGCATCACACACGGCCACCCCTAGCTGCAGGGCCACCTGGGAGATGAGGCCATGTGCCCAGCTAAAATTTGGGATTTGTGATCACAGAAAAAGGAAAAACAGATCATGAGGGACAGCTAGCAGTCTCTGCCATTTCCTTCCCACGTGACCTTGAGCAAGCAGCTTTACCTTTCTAAGTCTCAGTTTCCTCATCTGTACAGTGGGACTCATGGTGATCCCTGACAGACACGAGCATGTTCTTCTGGTCACTTTTTCATCTCTTAGGCCACAGCTTTGCTGTGCCTTCTCTGGGAAGCCCTCCCTGATATCCCCTAGTCTGGACCAGGCACCTCCTCTGGGCTCCCACAGCCCTGACCCCTCTGCCTGTGCTGCCCTTATCCCGGCCCTGACCACTCTGGGCCATTGCTGTCTAATGATGGGTCTGTCTCCCCATCATCTGGGAGGGCAGGACCTGGGGTTGCCGCGGTCACCACTGGGTGCCCAGCACGCGTCTGGCACAGAGCAGGATCCCTCAATCCAGACCCAGATGGTACACGTCCTTCATGTTTCCGCATCTGAGCCGTCCACATCTGGCAGGGGACCCCGGGGGAAGCTTCCTTCCTTGTTTGCCCCCCTTCATTGCTTCCATCCCATCCTGTAGCCTCTCCTGGCCACAGGATGAAGGCAGTCTGGCCTTGGGAGAGGGCAGGGTTTTGGGGAGAGGGGTCAGAGAATACCAGGCCGGGCCTCTGGTCTGTCCCAGCCTTACGCTCCAGAACCACTGGGGAAGGGTTGCCGGGCAGTGACCCAGTGCTGCAGATGAATTTGACCCTTTGGAGGCCTGACCCGCTCAGTGGGGGAGAGGGGTGCTCAGTGGCGTTTGCTGGAGGAGGTGACTCTGCAGCCACAATGACCTTATGAGCATCTACTCTGAACCAGCACTTCATCACTTTACCAACATCGTCTCTCTAACCCAGTCTGAGGGACGTATTAGATTCCCATTTACAGATGGAGAAACTGAGGCTTGGCTACCACAGAGTCACCTGGCCAAGGACACACGGGGCCAGGATTCAAACCCAGGCCTGAACAACCCTCCAAAACAATGGGCGTAGGAAACAGACCGTTTATAGAAAAGGAAACTCACATGGCTCTCATGCTTCTGAAAACACCACTCGGCCTCTCTCATAATAAGGCAAATGCAAGTTGCAACTCGAAGAGGTGCGGTTCCTCCTCTTGGAACTGCAGAGATGGGGTTGATGACGCGGGGTGGTGGGTGAGCAGGGGAGGGGCCCTCGTGCATTGCAGGTGCGGGTGGGTTGGGGGCGAGCCCCCGTGGGGGGTGGCTGGGCCCTGCCTGCCGCCAGACTTAGAATGCGCGCGCCCTCGAGCCCAGCGCTTCTCAGGAGTCTGGGCGTGGGGAAGGCCTTCCTCTAAGCATGGCCCAGCTGACTGTCGTCACGTGGCCCGTCCAGGCTGGCCTGGCTCCTCTTGCTCACCCACCATCCGAAAGGCCACGCTGGGGAGGCAGGGGTGATCTCAGGAGAAGTAAGAACCCCGTATATGTTATTGGTCCCTCATTGATTCTGCAGACTAGATGCTGGTGGCCCGAGGACTTTATATCCCACCTGCAAGTCCTGGGACTTACCAAGGTGCACCTGACCGGGGTCCAGGACTTCGGGAGGGAAAGAAGGAAGGAGTGGGGCAGCCTGGCCTAAAGAGTGGAGGGCACGGTGGTCTCCTGAGGGAGGAAGGGTCAACCATGGTTAAAAAAGAAACCAGAGCTTACTGCCCGGGTCTGAACCCCAGCTTTGCTGGTGAGCTGTGTGACGGGTTGGCCTCAGTTTTGCCGATCTGTAAAGTGGGATCATTTTCCCACCCTGCAAGGGGCTATGAGCATTAAATGAGTTTACATAGATTCACCCTCTATAACACCTGTGCATCTCTGAGGGGTTTTTCAGCCCAAGATTTGGGGGCCAGGAGGAGTCTGAGGGCCTTTGTCGACTGTCCTCTGCAGGTCTCCACGGGGGCCCCAGCAGGGTCTCACAGCTGGCCTGCGGGGCCCTCACTCCCTGGGCTCCCGGGAGCAGTGCGCAGGGTCTGCTGCACACCCCAGGGCTCTGTATTTGATGGGGGTGCCAGGGGCGTGTCCCAGGAGGAATGAGGGAGTGGGGCCCGGAGGCTGGGCCATCTCCTCTCTCCTGGGGTCCCCAGGCATCCTGGTTCTGGGCCCCGTGGGAACAGATGTGAGGCCCTGGGCCTCTTCCGGGAGGCCCTGATGCCGGCAGCGGCTTTAGTATTATCTGTGGAAGACAGAGCTGTCCAGACCCTGAGCCCCCACAGCCATGGCCGCTGGAGGGGCTGGGGCAGCCAGAGCCCCCCACCTCCCGCAGCCAGTCCTCTTACCCTTGCGCCCACGTTTGTGAGAAACGGGCACTACACGTGAGGAAGCTTAGCAAGCCGGGGCGGTGGCCCTGGGTCCTCACCCAGGCTGCGCCTCAGTCGCCCAGGGAGCTTTCTCCTTCTTTATGAAATTAATAAATGAACCACAGCAGCAACACGGAAGGTTACATAAGGGGTGGTGTGGGGTGGTGCAGCAGAAAGGCCTGGAAGGAAACACGAACACTGTAATGGCGGTTACTCCCTGGGGAGCTGGGAGCAGGGCCAGCCGGGAGTGGAGTCAGTGCTTCCAGCTCATTGTAACGTTTGTTTTTCTTGATGAAGATATATGTGGGTTAGCCTGTGCAATTCGAATAAATGGGAAGGACTAAAGGAATTATTGTTAATTTTGGTAGGTGTGTTTGTGGCATAGTAGTTTTGTTAAAAAAACAACCCTTAACCACTAGAGATATTTAGTGAAGGTTCTACAGGTGAAACACAAAGGTGTCTGGGATTTGCTTTAAAATATTCCAGAAAACAAGAAAGTAAAGGAGATCACGTCTTATGGTATCAGAAAATAAAAGCTGAAAAAAAAAAAAAAGGATAAGACACGTCGGAGGGACACAGGCGCCAACCTGAAGAGCTCCCAATGGCCAAAGTTGGAACAAATGAGCAACAAAATAAATAACAATAGCACTATAGCCGGAAGAATCAAGTCAATACCCCTGAGTCTGTTCTCATATAAGTAAATAACTGAATCAACAAATGGTGGCGATATGACAGCTCTCCCTCACAGGAGGATTCCAATTAATAAGTCTAGAGGGAATGAGGGGAATAGGAAATCATTAGAACCACACAGTGTAATTGTTGATGATTGCTAAAATTAGTGAGGGAGCTTTAAGCAGAAACAGGGTATTTACGTAGCCTCAGAGTATCGCACCCAAAATATTTATGAATTATTGTGCAGTCCTGGAATGCTTCCATGCTTGTCCCTCCAGGAGGTAGAGCTTAACTCCTCTCTCCTTTTGAGGGTGGGCTGGACCTAGTGTCTTGCTTCTAACAACTCGAGTGAGGAAAGGGAAAAACAGTAACTGGAGAGAGTGGGCAGACAGCACCGTAACCAGGTGAGCGAGGTCACCATGGCTGGTAACAAGACACGTGACGTCGTGGACCCCTGGTGTGGTGCACTGAGAGGGACACACCACCTCTCTCGTATTCCCCCAAATCCGTGCAAACATCAGACAAACCCAAACTGAGGGACCTGACCGGTACTTCAGAAGTGTAAGTCATGAAATGCAAGGAAAACTGAGAACCTGTCCCAGATGGGAGGAGACCAAGATGTGGCAACTGAATGCCGTGTGGGATCCTGATTAGATCCTAGGACAGGAAAAGGGCGTGGGTGGAAAAACAGGTGAACTCCGGATAAAGCGTGTCGTTGAGTTAACCATTTGAGACCAGTGTTGGTTTCTTCGCTCTGCTCGCTGTGTCCCGGTCACGTGAGGAGCTGACGTTAGCGGAGGCTGGGGGAAGGGGATACAGGATTCTCTGTCATCTCTGCAGCTCCTCTGTAAACCTAAGATTATTTCAACATAAAAAGGTTTTTTAAATTAAGGATGGAATTGAGGGAGCGTTATTACAGAGGGCACAAGGAACCTTCTGAGGGATGGATATGTTCGTGATCTTGCTTGATGGCACAGAATATATGCACATATATCACAGCTTCTCAAGTTATATGCTTTCAACGTACAGCTTGTTGTCTGTGAATTCAACCTCAAACTGTTTTTAAGAAGTAAAGGAGAGGAGTAATCAGAGGAATAAACAAAGCAAAGGAGCGCCCGGGAGGAAGCCGGAGGGTGTTGAATGTTGTTGCAACTGGTGACTGGTTCCTGAGGACTCCTGGGGCTGCTTTCTCTGCATGTTTGAAATTGTTCATATAAAAATATTTTCAAAGAGAATAAATATTAAATCCAGAATAGAAAACAAGAGCTATAAAGGATATTAGTCAGAGAATTGGGGAAATTTAAAGGTGACTCTATTAGACAGTGCTCATATTGTAAAAATGTTAAATTTCTCAAATATGATGGTGTGCGGAGTCCTTATTTTTTGGAGAAGTGCAGTGAATTACTTAGAGGTGAAGGACCGTGATGTGGGCAGTTTGCTCTCAAATGATTATGGAAAAAAATACACACACACAGCTAAGGGGGGAGAGAGAAAATGTGGCAAAATGTTACTATTTGGTGGATCTAAGGGAAGGGTGTTGGGTTTTTACTGTGCTATTAGCTCAGAAAGGTAACAGTGGATCGATTGGCAGTGTGTGCAGTGTGTGCCCAGGATCCACGCGCAGGCCCACCTGCTGTGCCCCCAGCCCCACCCTGTCTGGCTGGCCTGGGGCTCCCTGAGCCGGCTGTTCTCTGAGGGCACCAGGGCTGTGGCCCATTCTTGCCATCACGGGAAGATCACCTAACAGTCCCATTTAAAAATGCAGCTGCTCAGGCCCCACCCCGAGAGGGTCCCGTGTCTGGGATGGCGCCCAGGAGTCTCCGCTTTAATCACCAGCCCCCCATGATTTGCCTCTTGCGTGTACACGATATTCCGTTTTGCTTTTCTTTTTGCTGTTGCAATTTCGCAGACACGCCCAGAACTAGAGTGTAACGAATCCCCACCTCCCTGTCGTCCACCTTCCGCTTGTGGCCATTTTTTTCCTGCCGTTTATTTGCTGATGAAACAGGGTCATCTATGCTGACTTTGGTTGGTTGCTTCCTCTCACTGTCATTGAACTTGTTTCTGTGTCCCTTGAATTTGGTGTAAACTGGTGTTGGCTCTAGAAGGATCAGAGTCAGGATGCGGTTCTGCTGCTTATGTCCTCACTTGGTTTTACTTTTCTGCAGGAATCCATCCCAAATGCCTGTGATGGAACAGAAGTGTGCTGGGGAGTGTCAGGGGTCAGGGCGGGAGGCTTGCAGGGAGAGGCAGGGTGGCTCGATTCGGGGGGTGGTGAGGAGTTGCTGCCAGCCCCGCCGACCCCTCTCCCCTCCCTCCCTCTCTCCCTGGCAGTGCAAAGAGCCGTCTCGCTCTTCTCTCTCAACGACCCAGCTCTGAGCCCGGACATCCCGCCCGCACACAGTCCTGTCCACAGCCACCTGAGCCTGGAGAGGGGGCCCCCGACCCCCAGGACCACCCCTACCATGAGGTGAGGTTTCGCTGGGAGCACCCAGGGGCCCAGCAGCCCGCTGCGCAGACGAGAGGCGCCTGCCGCGGGTCAGCCCACTAGCCGCTAGGCGACAGCTGGGGAGCATCTCCTCACACATCACAGACTGTGCCGGGGCCCAGCGGTGACCGAGTCCCTCAGCCCTGTCCTCACGGTGGAGACAACACTGGAAACGATAGTTGCAAAGTTGTTTCACTTCCAACCTTGCCAAATGCTGAGTAGGGCCCCCAGGCTCCCCCATCTTGGGCTCCCCGTTCTCTGCCTGTCTCCCCTCTGTCTGCTCCTGGGTCTCCTCCTCCACGTGTCCCTAAAGTGTGCAGATATTCCCCTGACGTTCGCCGTCCCCTCCTCCCTAGCAGGTCCTGTGCTGGGCTCTCTGGGGACCCGGTGGTGACTGAGGCCCAGGCCCCGCCCTCATGAGGGTCCTGGGGCAGGAGGAGGGCAGGGAGACAGACAGCGCACATTTGTCACCTCACATTTAGCGCTGTGTATTTGTCTGCAGCAGCTTGGCAGAAAATAAAATCGAAAAGAGGAACAGAGCACGGAAGTGGCATGTTTGCATGTCCATGGATTTCAGTAGTGCCTTTCACACTCAGCTGCACACTTCGCTGTGCAGGGTTAGATACCCGACAGCCTTGCACTGGGCTTCGTGGGCACTGTCAGCGGTGTTCCAGGGCAGTTTTGACTTCTTGTTTTTTGCTTCCCACACTGGCTTTAGAACTCCACTCCACCGAAGCTGGGGCCCCACCCTAATTATAAGACTAGGCAGCTACAGATGGCACCACTGCAGTGAGGGTGGCGGGGCCTGTGGCCTCTGGGCACACTCCTGGATTCCCTTTGCCCCTGAACCGGTGACCTCCTCGCCCTGCCTCCCGCCTCCCCTGCCGCTGCAGGTTCTTCAAGATCCAGGACCATTGAGGGAGGAATGGGGGGGAGGGCCGAGTCCTCTCCCCTCCCTGAGCTGAGACACCCTGCCTCCCTTCTTGTCTGCGCAGCCCACGCCCCTCCTGGCACCCCCACCGGCTGTGTGTATCCCTCGGTGCCCAGGGGAGCCCTCTGCAGGAAGGGCTGCCCGCTCTCCTCTGCGGGGGCCAGGCAGACCCAGGGCCGGAATCTGCACAAAGGAGGAGCCACGGGCGGGGGTCCTGGATGCAGTGTCCCTGCCTGAGCCTGGGTTTCCCCCTCGTCCAGTGGGTGACAATGACGTGACCTCCCGAGCTGCGGTGGGCCAGAAGCTCCGTTAGATTGAGATGGCACACGGTGCAGGGTGGGCTCTCGGTAACAGGCGGGCCTCATCCTCGTCAGTATGGTTGTTGGTCCTGTCCATGAGGGCAGGCCCTCATGTTCGTCTGCCCACTTCCGTGCCTCGTGCGCTGGAACAGTCCCGGGCCCACCAGGGGCTCAGTGGATGTCAGTGGGACAGTTCTTTGTATTGTGCCACGTGACATCGTCACACGTGGGAGGCATTGATCCCTAAAGCACACACCTGCTGCATCCCCAGGGAGAATGCCCACTTCAGGGCGGGCAGACGCACAGCCTTTCATAGGCCTGGTGCTCCCGTGACCCCCAGCCACGCCCACAGGTGTGCCCTCGCTGCATGGAGCATGGTGGGAGGAGGGCGGGCTTCTGGCTTCCCCCAGAGCTGTTCCTCCAGGCACCCCTCGGGACTGCAGCCGGGAAAGGACTTCCCAGAGCTTCAGGGACAGAAGGGACCCGTGCCCCGTGTTCCTCCAGCTATGGGCCGCGAACCTCACCCCGGCCCCTGTCTTTGCAGCGAGGAGCCGCCCCTGGATCTGACGGGCAAGGTGTACCAGCTGGAGGTGATGCTGAAACAGCTGCACACGGACCTCCAGAAGGTAAGGCCACCGGGCAGCCACCTCGCCTGGCACACGCCTGCCCACTGCACTTCCCCGAGACTCGGGGGCCAGCGGGGCTGAGGCCCGTGTCCCCACCCCACCCCTCCTGTGCTAAGGGAGGCCACCAGCTTTGAATGTAGCCGCGAGTAAAGAGTAAAAAATGACAATAGCGAAAGCTGGTAAGCACACGGAGAAACTCTCGTACATTCTTGGAGGGAGAATAAATTGGCCCAGCGTTTTTGGAGGGCGACTGGACACTATTTATTAAAAATGTAATTGCAGGATGTTCATTGCTGCACTCTTAGCAATAAAAAGTTGGAGCTAATGCAGCTGTCCCTCCACAGGAGAATGTTCTGTGAATGACTGGACACCCAGGCAGCGGAATATTCTGCAGCCAATTAAAATCATAACAGAAATCTTTATATTTACCAACACGCAAAAGAAGTCCGGTAACTTAAACAACTAAGCAGGAGGCACAACTGTTTCCTAGAAACATCATACTTACTTAAATGTTTAACATCCCTGGGTCAGGGATATCTAGAACATTCCAGATTGTTCGGTGTACTTACCTCCAGGGTGTCAGGGTGTGGAAGAGTGAGGAGAAATAAGGGCGGAGGACTTTTACTTGTTGTTTTATTTACTTTGGGGTAAAGGCAAAATGGTGGCAGAGTAGAATGTGTGAGTCTCAAGCTCAGGACTTCTGGGGGCCCAGGTTCACATCCCACCCCACCGCTCAATGCTGTGTGACCTTGGACAAGTCACTGCCCTGGGCTGTTCCGTTATCCTGAGAGGGTGTCTCGGAAAAGGCCGTGGAGCCTGCGCAGGCAGCCCCACACCCACATTCCCAGCTCCACACTTGCTTCTCCGGGAACATGGGGGTGACGATGGTCCCTAAGTCTTTGGGTGGCTGAATTATCACTAATTATCATTAGTGATGTTTATGGAACAATTACTGCACGTCAGGCTGTTCCAAGAGCTTAACATACATGGCCTCAAGGGAAACCTCCACCACCCCTCTGAGAGTTGAGGGAGCTGGGGCCCAGAGAGGTGCAGTGACTTGCCTGAGGTTGCTCAGCGGTCGAGAAGCAGAGCTGGGATTTGAACCTCGGCAGCCTGGCTCTAATCCGCGGACGAGCCAGGGCCCGCAGGCCCCGGGAGCCCTCCCTGGGCCCCCGCACTGATGCCTGGCCCCCCGCAGGAGAAGCAGGACAAGGCCGTGCTGCAGTCGGAGGTGGCCAGCCTGCGGCAGAACAACCAGCGGCTGCAGGAGGAGTCCCAGGCCGCCAGCGAGCAGCTGCGCAAGTTCGCCGAGATCTTCCGCAGGGAGAAGAAGGAACTCTGAGTGGACAGGCCTCCGCCCGCAGGCTGTGGGCCCTGCTCCTCTCTCCCTCCACTTGCTCCCCGTTGCAAGTGTGGCCAAGATAATCCAGCCAGGGCGCCACCGCCCTCCCCGTGCACACGGAGACCCCAGATGGCAGGGGGCCCTGAGGGAGGCCTCGCCGGGGCCGGGAGCCGGGTCTGCTCGCGGTCTCAGGCCTCCCTCTGAACTGCCCATCTCTGGTCCCTGGGGCTGGGCTGTGCCCACACTGCCGCCAGGGGCCCACCCTGCCCTCCCCATCCAGCCCCTTCCTTGGACCAAGCCACGGGAAGCTGGAGGAAGGGGAGAGGGAGGGCGAGAGTGTGTCTCCAGACCTCACCACTCCAGGAATTCACAACCTGATGTCTTCACAGCAGAGTCTGGGCTTGTGGGGCCGAGGCCCCTCCATGAATGTCACAGTGTGCGAGCCGCCTGTCCTCCCCCAGGCCCCAGGGAGACGGGGGCCCGGGTGGAAACGAGCCTGGGCTCTCGGTCCTGATGCACATAGCTCCGAAAAGCACGGACACAACCCCGTCCCAGCCCTATCTTTCCAAAAAGCAGGCAGGAGCACTTTGTTAGAGTTTCAGTTGTGTTCTTGGGGGGTCCCAGGCTGGAGAGAGGAAAGTCCAGCATCCAGAGGCAACTTCTTGGAGGGGGCACCCCCTTTGCACACGCAGGACCATTTATACAGTCTGTTTCTATCAGCCCCTCGACCGCCAGAAGCCACGGCACCTGGGCCCTGCACCTCGAGCTGCTGCCTGGCCCGGCCCAGGAGCAGAGCCCACCCAGCGCATCTCCTCCTCCCCAGCCCCACGAGCTCCAACCACACAGCCACGGCCTCCTCCGGGCACCAGGAGGGGCTCACGGAGCCCTCAGCTCAGGGCTGGAGAGGAACAGCGTTCATCTCCTCTCTGGTTTTGATGGCCCATCTTGGCCCATCTCGCAGGCCCCACATGGCCGGACGCCCTCCCCGTGCTCCCCGGGAGCATTCTGCTGTGCTAACGCCCACGAGACGCGGGTTCTCTCCAGGCAATAAGGGGCAGCTTGCCGGGCAGCCAGGCCGGTGTGGTACTATGCTGTTCACCCAGGAAACAGAGGTTCTTTTTTTCCTTTAAAAACAAAACAAAAAAATATATATATATTTATTTTTTCATGTAGAGTTGCGCCAGAACAAGCTTGTATGGCCGCAATCTGTGGATTCCCCCGACCTCAAGCTGAGGATCGAGGCACATCCCCCATGGGCTGGGGCTCAGCGGGAGGACTCCGAGGGACAGAAAGACAGGGTGGGCAGGCCGTGGGCTTCCCTTTTCCAAAGACACCAGGCGGGGGGGTTGGCGTAGGCCTGGCTCAGAGCAGCACGCCCAGGCTGGGAGCCCCAGGCAGCCAGCCCTTGTCCAGGGACCCCACCGCCTTCTTTTTGGGGCCAGAAACCTCAGGGAAGGGGGCTCTGGGGACTGCACAGGACACAGGCACTGGGGGGTTGCCAGGCTGGATGGGTAGGGGTGAGAGAGGAGGGCACTCCTCATGCCTCCCTGCCATCCCCACGTCCCCACAGGCCAACATCCCCAGAGAGCCTTCAGACCTGCCCTCTCCTCCCTGTCACCCGTGGGTTGAGAGGGGGCTACAAGGTGGGGCCTGCTTGGTCCTCAGCCCTGGCCAACTACTGTGACGTCTCTGCCCCTGTTCCCGGACCCGCTTTTCCGGAGGGTTCTGCAGGATCACACCCAACCCCCCTCAGACCCTAACCTGGGGGCCGCCCCTCACCCCCTTTTTAAGTCACCTCACATCTTCAGATCATTCGAATCATTTTGGGGACCTAATCATGTACATTTAGAAGTGTAAATTATGATTTTTGGTTTTGTTTTCTGTTATTTTTTTTAAAGATTTCTGCAAAACAGATCTATTTAATTTGAGATTGGTGTTCTGTCTGATGGCTGAAGAGAGCAGGGGTTTTTTTATGTGTTGATTTGTTTCATTTGGATTTTTTATTATTCTTTATTGTCTTTTTTCCCCCCTATCCCTGTCTTGAGATTTTCTGGCATGTTTCTGGAGGTTTCAAAGGAAATAAATGTTTCATAGAAATGGTTCATGTGTTCACTAGCTGGGCAGCTGCCTGGAGTCACTGACGCGAGGGTGCGGTCCAGCGTGGGCCCCTCCTCCTGTCCCCCTGTCCCAACACTGTCACCCACACTATTCCCTAAGAACCAGGGAACACTAGCCTTGCAAGTTTCTTTTCTTTGAAACCCAGACAACAGAAATCCAATACTCAGAATGTAAAAGGTCCTTAAGTTATAAGTTAAAAAGAGGAACATTGTCCTTCAGACGGCGTATACCGGAGGCCTGAAAGCCAGGCCTGGCCCACGGAGTTGTGTGGGTTTTAGAATTAGTGTCAACTTTTAAAAATCCGGAGACGGTATGTGCAGAAAGCCGATTTCCAGCTCGGTAAGTCTCTCCTTCGCAGCAAGTCTCAGAACTGAGGGGCCCTGACCTCCTTGGGCTGGGCTGTCTCCCCTGCCACCGCCACCCCCGCCCAGTGCTGCCTTATTTGCATCCCCCCTTTCTCCCTGGCATATGTGGGAGTGGGCCGCCTCTGCCAGTCATCTGGTTGGTGTTTTGGGGTGAAAAGCAGCCCCAGCTTCCAGGGTGGGGGAGCACAGCGAGGTGGAGGTGTCTGGACAGATACTGGCGGCCTCGGTGAGCTCAGCCCTGGGCCAGGCCTTCCTCCAGGGGCTCTCCTGGCGGGGGAGGGTCTTCAACTCCTGGTCCCAGATCTGCATCTGCCCTGGTGAACCCTGCCCAGCTTGACTGGAGGATCAGAGTCAAACTCATTTTCGAGTCTCAAAATTCCACATGAGAATCCCAAGGTCTGGCCCCGTGGGAAGTCTGGATCTGGCTCCGCCCGGATCTAAGAGGCAGCCCCACCTCTGGACAGGGCCGGCCACGTGGCAGGGTCTCTCTGGCCCACCTCACCCATGTACCTGTCATCAAGTTTTCCATCACTGAGCTAAAACCTGATGCTTCTCTGACTCAGGCCCGTCCCCCCAACCCCGAAAAATATGTTTTTTCAAAACGAGGATATATCCTTTTTCCAGGGGAGGTGGACTAGTTATTTCCACAGCTAAAAATTCTAGAGTGCTCCAGACACTCTCCCTGTCTCCGCCCTCCTTGAGGCCCCATCCCTAACCCGTGCCCTCCCCCCACCAGCCCTGGAACGGAGGAACAAGCTGTTCTCACATCCTCTCCTGGCGCCTGTGACACACACCAACTTCCAGCACCCCGCGACGTGCACACGCCAGCCCGAGGTCTCGCCTGAGCTGGGCCCTGCTGGTCTCCTCCCCATCTTACCCCAGTTATCAGCTCCCTCTGCCTCTTCCCCTCCCTCCTCCACAGGCGCCCCTGGGCCCTCCCGGTCTCTCTTCCTCCCGCCTCATCTCTGGCTCTCGCCTCATCCTGTCTCTGATCCCTTGGTACCGCTTGCTCTCTCCAGAATTTTCTGTTGTTCCCCTAAAGTCTTCGTCTCTCTCTCCCCTGAGTCTCATCCCTCCGTGTCCTCATCCTGGGCCTTGGCCTGGCCCTGGGTCCTAACTCTCTCTCTCCCCAAACGTCCTCCCCTCTGATTCTCTTTTTCTCCCTCCTAAGTTACGTGCCCTGGTTCTCTGCCTCCCCTCATCGAATCTCTCTTCTGCTTCTCTCCCCACCTGGCTGCCTACTTCCTCCTCCTGTCTCCCTGATATGTCTGCTATTTTTTATTACTGTTATTTCGCCTCTCTCACTAACTCTCCAACTCTTCTGCTCTCTTCGCCATAATTCCTGTAGCCCTCCTCATCTCCATCTCTCTCCAGATCTATTTCTTCCCTCCTCTGCTCTCTCCTGCTCTTTTTCTGATTCTCTGAAAATCTGTGACTCTCGTATCCGCATCTCTCTCCTGATCTGTGTCCTGGTTCTCTCTTCACCCCACCTCACCCTAATCTCAGTCTCTCTCCTAATGTCCGTGTGTCTCTGTCTGTCTCTCCTTTGCCCCGTCCCCTCGCTGTTGGCCCCACATCCGGGACAGGAGCTCCAGGTGAAGTCTGGGCCCAGGACGAGATGCTCCTGGCTCCCCACTCCCCACCCTAGCCCAGGAGGGGCCGCTGTCTCCATCTCCCTCCCTTCCCTTCCCCCAGGCCCAGCTCCTGGCCTCCTCCTCACTGCCTCCTCCTCACTGCTTCCCGCTGCAGCTGCAGCAGTCCGTTGCCAGGGCAACCACAGCTGGCGGGGCGGGAGCCCCCTCCACCCCATCCCCCCTCTTCTTTCCAGCCAGGGAGGGAGGAGCTGGGACAAAGCCAGAGAAAGGCGGGGTGCAGAGGGGAGACGGGAGAGATGGAGGGAGACGGAGGTAGGGCTGAGTCCAGCTGTTAACCTGAGTTGCTTCTCCCCCAACGAAGCCCCATTGCCCCTTCTTGGTGACGCCTCAAACCAGCCCGGAGAAAGAGGCAGTTGTGGGCAGAGGGGTCAGGCCCAGTTTAATACACAGAACAAGTTAATTCACAGCAGAGGCAGGCAATAAAGGAGACTCATTTACAAGGGAGGGCACGCCTGGATTGGGGGAGAACCCCCCAACCCACCACCTCCCCCACCTGCAGTCTCAATTTCCCTTTTTTTTAAAACCGAACAACAAACACACACAACCACAAGAAACAACCACGCCCCCTCGCGACCCCGAAAATGGCCAGCGAGGGTGGCAGGGGGCAGCCCGGCCTGGCCGGTGGGGACTTGGGGCAGGGAAGCAGGGAAAACGGAGTCCATTGCAGAGTCTGTGCTTCTCATTCCAGCAGGCGCTGGGCAGGGGCCCGCCGTGCCCCACCCCCGAGCCGCCCACCACCCTGCCATGGCCACGGCCAGCAGGCAGGGCGGGGCGCTCGGAGGGACAGGGACGGAGTTCAGAACCATGGTTCACTTCATGCAGTATCCACGGCGGGCACCAAGAGGGGGTGAGGGGTGGACACCACACCCACCTGCCCTGGGCACAGGGGGGCATGGTGCCACCTTGGGGGGAGGTGGGGCAGCTGCAACTCCAGAAACCGGGGCAGGGGGGGGGGACGCTGGCATAGACTGGTGCCCAGTGGACGCGCTCAGCGGTGCCCCTTCCACCCAGCCAGGCCTTATAGGACTCTTTGTATATATTAATTTCTTTTTTTTTTTTAACTTTTTGAGTTTTTCTTTAGAAAAAGGCTGTGTCCGTGTCCCCAGCTGGCATCCACTACCCCTCGTGCCCGCCCAGAGGCGGGGTATGGCTTTGAGGGGAGCAGAAGCCCCTGGTGCCCATTTGCCAAGGGATGGGGAAGGAGGGAGGAGGGGAGAGGGGCCCTGCCAGGCCCACCAACCCACAGGGCAAACATTCCACTTGCACGTTGGAAGGGGGGCCCAGCCCCCTCTCAGGCCCCGGTCCCCCTCCTGCTGTGGGGCATTAAGGACGAGGAGAGAGCCGAGGAGCTCCAAGAGGCGGGTAGGCGTGCCCCACCCCAGAGGTCCAGGTGAGCCGGAGCCAGGCCTAGGTGAGGGTGATGTAGGCAGAAGCCTTTTCTTTCAGGTGCCGAAGACAGAGGTGACAACTCCAACTCCCTGTGGGGCGGCCAGAGGACAGGGAGTGAGGCCCAAGTCCAGGGAGGGTGCCCAGCCCCCTCCCATCCAGCGGACACGGTCTCCGCCAGCAGAAATACAGTGTTCCCACCCACCCATCCCCTGCCCCCCCATGTCGTGCCCACCTCTTCTCTCACCTTCCGGGGGCTCCGCCATGGGGGGACTCAGGCAGTACATGTGGTAACCCCGATCGCAGTCGTCACAGAACAGCAGCTGGTCCTGGGGGGTGAGACCCGCCCAGCTGGCACCCTGGGGGCACGGGCACCAGAAACCGGGGTGGGGGGCTGGGGCAGGGGCTAGGTCAGAGGGGCTGGGGGAGGTGGTCCCTTCCACGAGAAACGGCTCTGAGAAGGTCTTTGCATCACGGACTCTTTGCTCTGCCAAGCAGCACGGCCCTGCGGACTGTCCGTGAGCAGTTGTAGGCTGGGTTTATAAGACTCAGTGGAACATTCTCATGACACTGAGCTGGTCTGAGACCAGCTGTGGAAGCAACGCACAGAGGTTCGAGTCCCAGCTGTCCCATTTTCCTAGCTGGGGGACCTTGAGCAAGTCACTTCCCCTCTCTGAGCTCGTTTCCTCTCTGTGAAGTGGGAACAGAGCACCTCCCTCCGAGGGTGGTTGGGAGTAGAGAGATGGAGAGCATTCAGAGCCGGGCCCAATTGATGGACACTAATGATAATGATAATACAGGTTACTAGTGTTCTCCAGGGAGGGGGCTCTGGGGAGAGGCTTAGGGTGGAGATGCGGGGGGGGTGGCACTCACGTCGTTCTCCGAGGTGCCACACAGGCTGCATGACTTGCACTCGATGCACTGCCAGCGGTAGGTCCGCACGGCCGCCGTCATGTTCACCGTGAACTGTAAACACGAGGGGTGTCCTGGGGACCGAGGGGCAGGGATGTGGTTAGGGGTCATCGTGGCCCTGGTGGCTGCTGACCCCTGGGGAAGAAATGGCTCAGCCCCCACCGGGCTCAAATGGCCGGACGAGCTTCTGCGGCCCACAGCCCGGCCCCACCCTGCCCACAGGGCCCAGCCACCGTCCTGCGGGCAGCGCCGCCGTGGCCACCAGTCTCCTACCAGCCACCATGGCAACCACACTCTGCTCCCCAGAATGCCATGGCAACCGCATTCCATTACCGGCAGTGCTGTGGCAACCACTTCCCACCACCCACACCACTGGGCAGCCACGTTCTGTGAGCCACCGTGCTGAGGCAGCCACATTCCAGTACCCACAGCGGAGCGGCCAGCCGGTTCTGTGAGCCACAGTAACGTGGCAGCCACCTTCTCCTGGGCACAGGGCCACAGCAAGCACCTTCCACAGCGGGGTCCCCACACCCTGACTCCCTGCAACCCAAGCCCATTCCACAGGAGGCCGCAGCAACCACACTGTTACTAACAATACCGTGCAGTGCCAGTCCGCTAGCCGTCCCCGGAACAGAGACACCGCAGCCACAACCCCAGTGCCACAACTACATTCCACTGTCCCCAATTGCCATGACAACCCTATTTCACGACCCGCACTACCATGACAACCACAATTCATTACCCACTGTGCTGAGGCAACCACAGTCTATTACCACAAGCCCACCACGGGAAACCACAGTCTAACCACAAGTCCACGGCAAGTGCCCTCTGTCAGCCACAGTACCAGGCAGTGGCAATCCATTACTCACAGTCACAGTCCACTTCCCACAATGCCAGGACAATCACATCCCACTGTTCCCAGAGCCTCCGCGACCACACAGTTTCCCACAGTCCTCAGCAGTCCTCGGCTTATCCTCAGTGCCCCTGGGATGCTCTGGGTGCCCCCTCCTCACTGCTCTGCCTCCCCTCCTCTACCCCAGCCCCCAGAAACCTCAGGTGGGGGCATCACCTGATCGCCCACAATCAGCACAGGAGATGAGGTCCTCGGGACACCCCGTCTTCTTGGAGCCACCCAGGCAGAAGTCACAGTAGCCGTTGGGGATGACAGTGCCGTCGGGCGCCTTCTTGGCTGAAAGACAGCAGGCAGGGGTTGGCATGGGCAGGCAGGGGCTCCAAGTCCAAGGCTGCTGAAGAAGTAGGGGTGGAGGGAGGCATCCCTACCTGTGTGTTTCCTGTGTGCCTCAGGGACCCAGGCCAATTCTTTGTAAAACTCTGGGGGTGGGGGGACAGAGAGAGGGGCTCTCACCACAGGCAAGGCTCCACCCTGCCCCCAGCCTCAGCCCCAAAGGCAGACCCCTTGGTCCAGGCATGAGGGAGGTGGGGAGAGAGAGTAGCTACCCCAAGCTGTGGCCAGTAGCAAAAGAGAGTTGGGGGGGGCCCAAATAATTCTCCCCAGGACCCCCCTAACTCTTTGAGGACAAGGGACGTGTCCTCTTTATTAAGTAACAACTTGGCAGATACAGCGCTAGGAGGAGTCCCCTGCTTCCCCACTCGTACAGGCTTCTAGAAGACAGCCACTCCCACCTCAGCCCCACCTAGATAAAAATTGGGTCGATGCCACTGGCCAAGATCTGGTGTGGAAACAGACAGACATTCAGATGGAAAATTCTGAACACTGAGGTGGCTGGATAAGCACGGGGGTGGGATGAAGAGACCGCCATCTCCCGCCAAGGGAAGGGTGGGAAGATGGTTTCTGCACTGGCAGAGCCTCACCCCAGCCCTCCCCCAGCCCTCCGCTGTCGAGGCTGGCATTGGCATGGGCATGGGCGGTCACCAAGGGCTCCCAGGCCCCAACCCAGCGCCTTGACCAAAAGCTCAGCAGAGAAGGGAGAAAGGGAGGCAGGGAGGGAGGGGAGTTATCTATCACCCCCCCTCCCCAAGCTCTAATTGAAACAATAAATCAGACCCAGAAATATTACGCCCGGCCGGGAGTGAGGGAGAGATGGTTGGTTGCCATGGCAACCCCAGAGCCAGCATCCCCATGGTTGGTGGGGGAAGGGGACCGCTGAGCTGGAGATTTTCCAGAAATGTCTAATGTGCCCCCTCCTTCCCAGGCTCCACAGCCCCCACTCCCAGGGCCCCTCACCACCCCGCAGCCCCCCTGCCTGCTCACGTTTATGGTTGTTTTTCCGGTGGAAGGGCAGGGCGTGGCGTTCGGCGTTCTCCTCCCCCTCCTCCTCCGCCAGGTGGGTGTGGGTGTAGTGGTAGCTGAGCCCCGGCCGGTTCTTATACCGTTTCCCACAGACTGGAGAGCGAGCAGGGAGGGCCAGTCAGCCCTCCCAGCCCGCACCGCCGCCTCTGCCCTGGCCTCCAGGATCACACCTCCCCCCTCTGCCAGAGGACTGAGCATCCCCCCACTGGGTCCAGAACAGCAGGGAGGGGGCCGGGAGGGGAGAGGTCTTTGGGGCCCCCCTCTCTCTCTCTCTCCCCCTCTTCAGAAGGACTCACTATCACAGACATACGGCTTGTCTCGGTCCTCCAGGGAAGCGGTGTCGTGGCGTTTCCGGAGACCCCCGATGCCATACGCCTGGAGGGAGAGTCAGGAGTGAGGGGCCAAAGAGAGGGAACTAAAGGAATTTTCATCATTTGGGCCTGCAAGTCGAATCGCAGCTCTGCCACTTTCTAGCTGTGGGCCTTGAATAACTCCCTTGACCTCTCTGAGGTTCCCTTTCCCCGTCTGCAGCCCAGGTCTGAAGATGGTTCTAATCCACTGTCCCATCTCTGTTTTGCAAATGGTTTAATATATCTGGGCCTCAATACCCTCATCTGTAAAATGGGTATAAACCCTCTACCCTTTCAGGCTGCTCTGGGGATGAAATGAGGTCAAACCGGGGCAGAGTCTGACCACTGTACACGCTCACTAAATGGGGTCTGCCCTGAGGGGAGGGGTGAGGGGGGGAACGTTGGGGGGAATACCTTTCCTTTGGCCCGGTTCTTCCTCCTGGGAATGTCATCCTCCAAGTCTTCTACCTCAAGATCGTGCGGAAACTCCAGCAGCTGCTGTTTCTGGGCATCAGGAGAAGGGAGACTGCGGTCAAGAAAATGAGGGGCACTGTTCTGCTTTGGGGGATTCTGGGCAGAGCTGGAGATTGGGGGTGGTGGGGCAAGTCAAGAGGTCTTCCAGGAAGAGACGAGGCGTGGGAGGATGGAGACTCAGGATGCCCCAGGGCCCAGGGCCCAGGGCCCCAGGGGAGAATTCAGACAGGAATGGGGGGTGCCAGGGCAGGAGGCAGGGGTGCAAGGGCAGCTGGGGCCCCGGGGGTGGTCCTACCTGGCAGTCCATAATGGTCTCCTCTTCCTTCAGCTCAATCTTCTTCTCCCCCGTCTCAGCACACAGCAGAGCCTCAAGCACCGGCCCTTCTGGGAGGCCACCCTCCTTCTTCAGGGGCGCCTCACAGTCTGGGGACAAGGCCATGGGGGGTCAGGTGGGGAAGTTGTTCCTGGAGGACCCCTCAACTGCCCAGGTGGGGGAACCATGTTCTTTGCTGGAAGGAAGAGGCTTTCCCACACTCAACCAGCGACAGACTCAAAGATTCAACCATACATACCAGGAAGGATGCCTAGACCCTGGGGGAGACACAGCCAGACCCCCAGATCCACTCGGACACACTTAGGAGGGGACATGGCCAGACCCTCATATACACCTAGATACATGGGGAGACCCCAGCTAGACCCTCACTTACACCTAGACACATATGGAGAGATAGACATTCAAACAGGATACACGAGATACACGTGGACAGACACAGGGGAGATACAGACGGGTCATCTGAGACAGGCAGACACACAAAGGAAGAGATACACCCAGACACTCAGATACACCCAGATCCTCAGATACACCCAGACACGTGGAGGAGACACCTCCAGACCCTTGGATACACCCAGAGATACTCAGAAAGAGACCATCAGACCATCAGATATACCCAGACCCACGTGGGGAAGACACAGCCAGACACTACCATACACCTGGGCACACGTCGGGGAGGTACAGACACACCTAGAGAGAATCACTCAGATGGATATACACTGACATACACAGGGAGGTGCAGACTGTCCCTGTGAGGCAGTCAGACACAGCCAGGTGGACACTCCAATACACCTGGACCCACACAGACTCTTGGATACACCTGGACGGGAAAGAGAAACAGCCAGTGACTGATCGCACTGGACACATTCAAAAAGCGATAAGGCCAGACACTCGGGCAGACCAGCACACATGGGTGGAAATACACCTAAGACACCAGACACTAAGGGAAGAGATTCTCCCAGACATTCCAGAGCACCTGGGCACTCAAAGGAAGAGACAGTGGACACCCTGATACACCCAGACACACTCAGGAACAGCTGGATCCTCTGACAGACCAGACACACAAGAGGAAATAAACCTTCTAATACACTTGGAAACACCTGGAAAGAGACACAGACACTTAGATGCCCTCCACTACAAATGGAAGACTTACCATCAGACACTCTGACGCACCCAGACACACTCAGGCCCCCACAGGAAGAAATCCAGCCAGACACTCTGATCCATCCCAGCTCCCAAGGGAAGAGACACAAAGACCCGAGACACCTAGACACACACAACAGGTACCACTCTACCCTCGAATACACCTGGGCCCAGTCACTTAGGGAACAGTGGAGAATCTCTGGACTACACCCAGACACACAGCCAGCCCCTCAGACACTCGCCAGGAGGGAAATGAAGGCGGATGCGCAGACGCACACTGGCACCGCCACACACTTCTCAGCGGGGGCTGGGGGCACTGATGGCGGCCACCCGGGCACAGGACGGACGGAGCTCCACCCACCAATCTTGTACTCGCAGGGCCGGAGTCTGGGGTCCTCCAGAATGTTGAGTCTCCGTTTCTTCCTCCAGCAGCGGGCGGGGTACGTATAGATCTGTCCCGGGGCCAAACCTGGAGGGAGAAGGGCGGTGAGAACGCGCCGCGAGGCCGCCGCCCCGCCCCACCCCGCCCTCCCTGCGGGTACCCGGCCCGCGGTGGGTCTTCTCCATCCAGATGTAGCAGTTGTTCTGGGCCACGCCGGTCTGCGAGTCGAGGAAGGGCAGGCGCAGGCTGCGCTCGGCGCACAGGCGCGCGTTGTAGCTGCGGCAGTGCTCGATGGCCTCGCGGTAGAAGTCCTCGCCTAGGCTGCGAGGGCGGGGAGCGGGCGGGCGGCTGTCAGCAAGGGCAGGCGCGCCGGGCGCCCAGCACGCCTCCCCCGGCCCGCGCGTCGGGAATGGGTGGGCCCCTCCTCCAACCTCCCCTCTCCCCCTCCTGTCGCTCCTGGACCTCGGAGCCCCCAACCTGGGATTCGGGCAGGCCTCAAGCCAAGGAGCAGATCACACAATATAGAAAGAGACAAAAATACACCGGGACTCATCCACCCCTGCATATGTCCAAACACACAACAGACAAATCACACATAGTCACACCGGATTCACACACAAAGAGAGACATATCCCAAGACCCACAAAGAAGCAGACCAATCTCACATATGTGCACACACAAATGTCTACTGAAAAACACAAATGTCACGTAGTGTAGAAGACAGATCACACATATATCCATACACAAACACACATCGCATATCCAAAGACACACAACATAAACAAATCACCCACACAAAGACACAACATGCAAACAGACAGATCACACACACACACACACACTCATGCATCCAAAGACACACACAGATACACAAATGTTAAAAGAGGAGAAATGTTAAAACAAATTACCTACATATGTACTTACATATTCAAAGACACAACACAAATCACACACACACTATCCAGACACACTGTACAAAGAAATCACACAGATTCATACAGGATACACACACACATTCACAAAGATACACAATACAGAAACCAACATCTAAAATACCACATATTCAAACACACAAAGATACACACATATACAGCACAGAGACAGACCAATCCACCCATATTCACACAAAAATTTACACACAAATACATGCATACCCACACATCCAAAGCCACAGAACGCAAATGATGCACAGTTTGAAAGGGCATGTACACACACTCCAAGACCCAAATATCCAAAAATACCTAGTGTCCAATAAAAGAAAGTCAGCACATATCCACACACATATCCACAAAAACCAGAACACAAACAAGTGACACACACTCCACGTCCCAAGACAAAGGTGGTGTGGGCTTCACTCAAGTTTAGCAAGGCCCCCGCACCCCCGGGCCATTTCACCGCCTCCGCAACCCCGGGGGTCGCGAGTCGGGACATGACCCCCTTCCCCGAAAAGGACCCGAAGAGGACTCGGAGTTCCCCACACCCTCGCTCCTCCAGGAGCAGCGCGTCGGACCCCGTTCCAGCCAGAGCCCCACAGTCGCACACGCTCGCACCCCCGCACAGCCCGGCCCGCGGTGACAGCCCCCCAGACACCCCGGCGGCCCCACCCCCAGCCGTCACACACACGCCCGCCCGCGCCGACCCGCCCGCGCGCCCTCCCCCACCTCCCGCCGCCCGCGGCACCTCAGGGGACCAGGGATGACCGTGGCCATCTTGCTCCCCGGGTCCTGCCCCCAGTAGGTCCCCGCCGGGTCGGTCCTCCCCGCGCTCGGGCGGGCGCCGAGGCCGCCCATCCATTCATTCCCGGGGGGCGGGCACAGCAGGGCCGCAGCCAATCGCGGCGGCGGGGCGGGGCGGCCCGGGTCATGCCGGGAGTTGTAGTCCGGGGCCGGGAGTCGGCGGGACCAGCGCGGAGGGGGCGCCGAGGAGGGCCCGAGCACGCACAGTCCCTCAACACGCTCACGCGTACAGACATCTAGTCTCACCGGCGTACGCTCACACGTGCACACCTGGACGCGCCCACACCTACACGGCAATGTACACACATTCACACGTATACTCACAGCCGCCCACGTAGACTCACGCACACCCCCACTCCCACGCCTCCACCCAGACGCACATACATTGACACTCACACGCACACCTCAGTGCCAGGAGGCAGAGACGCCTGCCTTCCAGGTGCCCACACAAGGTCCCAACATGCCCGCGCTGGCGCACGCGGTGGCTCACTGACAACGCGCCCTCCCCAGTCCCTCCTGGCTCCAGAGACCCCTGTCCCTTCCCACTCGGGGTGGACACTCTCACAGTGACCCCGCCCTGCTCGAGCCCCTCCGCAGGCCTGACAACCCTGGGGCTAGCCAGGAGTTGTCGCCACACCTCCTGGGTTCAAATCCGGGCTCTGCCACTTGGTGGCCATGCGACCTTGGGCAAATAACTTCACCTTTCTGGGCTTTAGTTTCCTCGTCTGTAAAATGATTAAATGAGCAGATATGGGTAAAGTGTTTTAAAAGGTACCTGGCAGGGAGTAGGTGTTCAATAAATTCATCCATTCCACAAAGAGGATCTTATATGTACTAAGATGTCAAAGGGCGAGAGCTAACCGTTATTAGAAAGAAGAATGCCTGGCACATAATAGATGGTCAATAATATTTGTTGAGTGAATAAATATACGGAGGACCTGCCATGTGCCAGGCACAGTTCTAAGTGCTTTAACGGCAATTAACTCATTTAATTCTCATTATGACCCTCCTGGGTGGTACTATCAGGACCCCATTTTCCAGATAAGGAATCTGAGACACAAAGGTGCGGTCACTTGCTCTCAGACTCTGGTGGCTGTTTGAAGGTGGGACTAAGGGAAGGATTCTGTACCCAAGTCAGCCTTACCTCCTGCTATCTCCCACCGTCACCCGCACTGACTCTACCCTAAGGGACCCCCAGAGAGTGACCGAGTCACAACACCCACCCAGTCCCACGCACAGACCTGGAACCCACCCCGTCCAAAGTTTGTGTTCAAGTTTGAGCCCCTGCGTAGATGACAACGCCCACAACGGTCCTTGTCCACCAGAGGGCTCTCCAGGCGACAGAAGAGGCGCACTAGCCTTCGCTTCTTTTGTCACTTGATGCCCCCATCTACCCCCGGGTGAGAGAGACCCCCTCAAGGTCTTCCACACCCATGGTCACTTCTAAACACACGCACACACCCCCCTCTAGTCTTAGACCTCTTCCACAAATGCTCCCCCATCTCCCCCAGGTGAGGGCTTGACCTTCCCCTCCCCTATCCCCAGTGGAAGGGCATGGGTCTCTGCTTCACGTCTGGTCTACAGTAGGTGGCAAGGGGAGTGAGTCAGGGACGCTGGCATCCCCACGCTCACTCTGGCCTCCAGGCGCCTATAGTGGCCACCCCACATCTCATCCACAGCAAGCCCTGCGCCCGGACCTGTCAGCTCAGCCCAGAGAGCGAGAACCCTTGCCACCTTCCTCTCGTACCTCCCACCACCCTCACAGGTCCCCCAACACACCCTCACACTTGCTCCCCACACCTGCAGCCTCAAACACGCCGGCTCACTCCTGCCCTGCCCCAACCCTGCACCCTGAGTGTAGAACACTCCATGGCCTCCCCGGAGGCCCTTGTCCACCAGCACGACTTGACCCGCAGACACAGGCTGACGCTTGGAGAGGGGCCTTCCTCCCTTTCCGTACCCCTAGTCACCTTCACAGACCCCTCTCCCACACTGAACTCCCCTGCGCTAAGAACCCTCCTGTCCCCACCCCCCAGGACCCGAGTGAAACTGGACCACAAGTGAAATCAGTATTGATGCTATTAATAATCATCACTCCATTCCATCAGGATCAGGCTCTGTAGTAAGTGCTTTACAAAGATCATAACAGCCCCATGAGGTCATAAGAGCTGTTATGAGTCCCCAGTCCATAGATGGTAACACTGAGGCTCAGAGGGGGGCAATGAGTGGCTCAAGATGGGGCTTGAATCCCTGCAGTCAGAACTCCTGAGGGCTGCCCCCTGCAGCCTCCCACTCCCAAGGGGATTTGACTCTCATTCTTTCAGGAGTAGGAGCCCACCCTCACCCCTGCAGACCCTTGGGAGGAGGAGAGCAAAGAAGGGCGCTGGCATTCCCAGCCCAACGCTTGCTCTGGCCTCCAGGGCCCTGCAGTGGGCAGCCCCATAGCTCCTCCAAGGTCTGGGCCCGGGTCAGAGGGAGGAGGCCTGGATGCCTATAGATCCACCAACCTGCACAGGAACCCCATCCCAGCCAGTGTGAGGGCGTCCCTCACAGGGGAGACATCTGTCTGTGCGTGAGACTTCGAGTGAGAGGGGAGCAGAAGGGTGTCACGGTCACACACAGACCCCAGCCCCACGCGCACCCTCCAGGCCCTCTTCGCTCTCCGCAAAGCCGCAGGTGTAGGCGTGTGCTTATAAGCCCCCGCGCCCCTCCTCTCCCAACTTCCCCCGCCAGAAACCAGAAGCAACCGGGGCCTTTGGTCCAGCCACCAGGCACAGCCCTTCTGGGGGGAGGGGGTCGCTCCCGGCCCCCTCTCCGCTCCCCACCTCCCCGCACGCGTTGCTCAAGGTCAAGGCTGCGAGCGCACGGGGTTGGGGGAAGGGTGGGGAGGTCGTCCCGGCCCCTTTGTGCGGCGCCGCCGGCGTTCGCCCTCCGCCTCCTCCCCCAGGCCCGGGAGGAGGGGGAGGGGAGTCCGCGCTCGCCAGCCGGGGAGGGAGGGCGGGAGCGGCCGCGCGCCTGTCACTCTGAGCCCGCTGTCACCGCCAGGGGAAGGGGGTTGGGGAGCGCTGGGACCCGGGAGTCCGGGATCCCGAAGAGGGAGCGAGCGAGAGATGGAAAGAGAGTGAAGAAGAGAGGTGGAGATAGCGAGCGATGGCTAGGAGAGGGGAGGGATGGGAGCCAGCTAGCCTTGAACCCAGGCGTCCAGGTTGCCAGCCACTGGGCGCAGGAGGAAGCGAACGCACGGAGGACGGACGCGGACAGAGAGAAAGGGAGGGAATCCCCGGAGATTGAGGGAGCTCCGAGCACCCTCTCCCGAGGCATCTGGTCCCCACGGGGATGGGAGATGCTCTCGTTAGATGTGTATGGGCGGGGAGAGGGAGGGATCCCACGGTCTAAGCTGACCGGGGCTTCCAGGCTTCTGCGTCTTCAAGACCCGGGGAGGAAAAAGGGGAGACAGCAGGGATCGAACCGGGGACCCCCGACGTCTCAGCTCCCACCCTGCGGCCGCGCGAGCCGAGGTCCTCGGAGAAAGAGGGGGAAAAGAGAGAAAGGTGCTTTGATGAGGGGAAAGAGGGTGGCGGAGACCCCGGAGACTGAGGTCTGGACTTAGGCGTTCGTACTCCCAGCCCCATGCTGGGGCAGGCCCGGCGCCCCCAGAGACACGGAGGAGGAGAGACGGAGGAGGAGGAGAGGGAAGCCCCTACCCCCACTCTGGGTGGGGAAACGGCCTCCGCCACCCCCAGCCCGCGCCACATTCCTTCACTGACAGCGACAAAGAAGAGGCGCCCCCGCGACCCTGCAGGGCTCCCGCCCCAAACCCCATGGGGCGACAGGGGGTGTCGGGCCCCCCAGGGACGGGGGGGCGCGCTGGAGGCCCCCATTCAACTACCATCCGCGCGCTGCGTCCCCCTCCCCAGCGAGGGAGGGGGAAGGGCTCCGGGGGCGGGGGGTTCGGGATGGAGGGACGTGGACGGCGGGGACACTCACGACTTGAGCGGGTTCTGAATGGCGGTGGCCATGACCCGCTCGGCTGGGCCGCCTCCGGCCCGGGGCGCCGCTGCCGCCGCGCGCGGGCCCAGCCCGGCCTGCGCCGCCCGCTCTGCCGCCCAGCGCGCTACGATTTCATTCATTCTTGGGGCTGCGGCGCGAGCGGAGCGGGGCGGGCCGGGGGCGGGGCTCGGCCAATCCCCGCACCTCCCGGCGCACGACGGGACGTGGAGTCTAGGGGTGCGCGGCGGCGCCCGAGGGCGCCCCTGTCCGGACTACACGTCCCAGGGGGCGTCGGGAGGACCGCGCGCCCATTGGCTGCTGGGGATACAGGGCGGGGCTGGGTTCTCCCCAGAGCATCCTTCCCTCCTCCCTGGGGGTGCTCCATTCCCAGCTCCGGCTCTCCATCCTCCAGGCACAGCGGGCGCGGGAGCAGGTGATCCCTGGCCTCTGGGTCTCCCCAGGGTATGTGGATGACCCGGGGGTCTGTCATGTCTTCTTGTCTATGTTGGCTTGTCTGGGTGTCTTTTCTGTGTAAGCCGGCCTGTAAACAAGTACAGGAGTTAATCAATGCCTTTGTTTATTAAGGGCCTGCTACGTGCCAGGCACTCTTCTAGACACTGGGGATATAGCAGTGATCAAACAGACAAAGTCGCTGCCCTCGAGGAACTGACCTTTTAATGGAGAAAGACAGATGATAAATAAGAAAATGAATAGACAAGATCCTTTTAGAGAGTGATAAGTGTTTCTCTGAGGAGGTGACATTTGAGCTGAGACCTGAGAAGTTGCCAGCCATCAATAGCAGGAGAAAGGAACAAGCGTGGCAAGTTCAAAGATCAGTAAGAAAACCAGTGTAACTGGAGCAGAGTAAGTGAGTGGGAGACAAGGCGGCAGAGAGAGCAGGGTCCCAGGTCATGCGGGGCCTTGTAGGCCATTATAAAGGGAACGGATTTTGTTTTAAGTGCAATCAATCATTCTCAACTCTCTTCTTTTTCACACACACACCAAGCCCGTCAGCCCATCCTGTTATCTCTACATTCACAAAATAGATCCAGGATCCCCCCTTCTCCCTTCGCAGCCTCCATCCTGG